ACTAAGTAGCACTGCATTGAGGTTTGAACCATAGTTAGTGGATGGATGTTTACCTTAAAGTGATGGATTTTAGGAGTTTTTGTGTGCTTTACTTTGGTATAGAAGATCATTTTCCTTTAAGTGCAGGGGGGTGTTTCATAAAGCTGTTTGTAAAGTTATGCATGACTTTACGAACGACTTGTATATGAAGTGCCAGATAGGATGCCCAAAGTTTTTTCTGATATTTCCAATGACCTTGATTAAATTATGGCAAAAAATATACTTTGCATTAAAAATGTTTGTTATAATAAGAATGTTAATCTACATCTGCACAGTTCAATTTTAGTTGATGCAGTTAATAATGATTGAGCATACCATTTGGCATTTCATATATACAAGTCCTTCGTAAAGTCAAACGTAACATTACGAACAGCCTTATGAAACAACCCCCCCCCCCCCCCCCCCCCCGGTTACTTACTAAGCTTTGAACAAAGAAATTATTAAATACCTGAAGATAATTGGGATACAAGTTACTGATACAACCTTTGATTTCATCCTGACAGGTTCGCCGGCTCACTCTCAGAATATTGGATAAGTTTCCCGTCACCCTGCCCTCTGTAGGTGACTCGGTAAGTAGTATTGTAAAAGAATTTCAAATGAGATATCTTGGAAAATGTTCAACTTTTTTCAAATTCCAAAAGTGATTTGCGCAATGTAGAAAGAATTCCAAAAATAATATCCTGCCAAATCATCCATATCCACAGTGCAGCCTCTTAATAAATGTTTTTTTCAAGTGAATATTCAAATTTTACGAAGGACTTTCACTATTGATTAATTGTTAAATAGATTATTTTGCTCATATCATCATCAATCATTTTCCTTTTTCAATCACATTGTTCCTATACTATAAGTAGTATTGTAAAAGCGCTTAGAGACATTTGTATTAAGCGCTATATAAAAATTAAATATTATTATTATTTTTATTAAAAGAATTTCAAATGAGATATCTTGGAAATGTTTAATTTTTCAAAAAAATTCCAAAAGTTATTTGCGAAATGTAGAATGAATTCCAAAAATGATATCCTGCAAATTATCCATATCCACAGTGCAGCCTCTTCATGACTGTTTATTTCAAGTGAATATTCTAATTTTACGAAGGACTTTCACAATTGATTAATTGTTAAATGGATTATTTTGCTCATATTGTCATCAATCACTTTCCTTTTGCAATCACATTGTCTCTATATTTCTTTTTCTTTTCTAAAATACCATTTTTGTCCTCTTTTCATATATTTGTATTTGTAAGTGCTATGGTACTTATTGTTTTTAGCGCTCCTAAATATTTGACATTGTTATTATTATTGATAAATGATGTTAATGGTCTCTGCTTTTAGGCATTGCAGCAAGTATCAGTGTTCAGACTTTGCTTGGAAGCTGAAGAAGTCCCGGTAACCATAGAGACATACAGAGAGAAGCTCAAGTGTTTGGGTTATCTGGAATATGCCACGGTGAAGAACAGTATACCAGAAGGCTTTGAAAAGGTCTGTATTCTATTTACAACATATCTTGCAGCGTTTCATGCAAGGAATTTCCAATGTCTGGGGGTTTGGTTGCAGATTAACATCATTAAGTCATAAATCTGTCCACTTTATGTTTCTTTTTGGGCTGTTAAATGCACAAAAATAAAGTTATATTTTATGTGTGAAGAGATGCATGGTTTGCAGAGTAACATACGATAGACGTAAGTTAAGAAACATAATGTATTTCTTTTGAAGTCATGTCTCTTTCCAAGCAGTTGAAATTTGCAAAAACAGTTATTAGCCAGAGTACCTTGAACACAAGAACACAAATGAGCTCATGGAAATGTTGGGTCTGGAATAAACTGTGGTGGAAGTGGTAAGAGAAATGGATTGAAATGGATGGGTCATGTGTTGAGAAGGGAAGATGATGAACCTGTGAAAAGAGCATGGGATCTGGAAGTGGCCAGCATTATAAGAGGGAAAGGAAGACCAAAGATTTCATGGAAAGATTTGGTGAAGAGAGAAATCAGTAAGGTTGGTCTAAATAAGGATGCTCAAGACAAGAAAAAGAGGGAGGGAGTGTCATCATGACCTGTCGTAAGAGGGAAAGTGCTGACTTTAATAAATGATGATGATGCATCTGATTTACAATTCAATTCTTCATCATTTTTCTATCATTAGTATAAAGACATTCTCGTTACTGGATTCATTTAATATTTTTTCATGTATTTTCTACATTTGTTCATATTTCTTTACCAGGTTCCGTTGAGGTTTCTCCTAGGGCAGCTGTACATTAACTTTCAACTCCTATGGGACCCAGTGGCAGACAGTATCAAGTGAGAAGAATACTTCATCTCTTCTTCTTGTTCCTTTGAAATTCTGTGTTTTGGGTCCCTTTGGAGCCAGAAGGGCGTTAAGTCGTATCATTTTACACTGGGTTAATGCCCTTCTAGCTCAAAAAAGATGGTGTAATCAAAATCTCAGATACTTAAAAGCCCCACTGCACTAATTATAGGTACTTGCGCCCTCTATATAGCAAACAATGCCTAATCGGTGCCTGTTGGTTCCAAATGATCCCCTTTTTCTTTTGTTAATTGAGAGCTGATTTGATGAGATAACCACCTGTCAGTGACCTCGCAGGGAGGTCTAATCCCCCCTGGCCAAACTAGTGCAGACGTGCTTTAAAACTCCTATCCAATTCAATCCAGGAATTTGTAGAGCGCCAATATGTAGTTGCTAATAATCAAAGGTGCTGCTGAAAACTTTTGAATGAATGGAATTATGAATAATGATACCATAACTTTCAAGAGCACGTATCCAGTATTTTGTCTCCGTGTATTTCACAATTTGTTCTTCAATGACCTTTATCTGCTCATGCTCAGACTGCAATCGTGAACTGGCTTATTAATTCCTACCCTTCGATGTGATCACGATCTGTGTAAATAGCCACTTCATAGATACAATCTCCGCATGGGCAAATAAAGGTCATTTGTACCAAAATGGTAAAACCCACAGAGATGAATACTGGATTATGCGCTCATGAAAGTTATGTAACATTTTTCGTTTATGCACCAACAGTACATTCTATGATACCCAGGGGGAAGTATTCTTTTCAAGAGGACAAACAAAAGGTATTCATGAAGCACATCTAGGACTTTGGCAGTTATTATTCTAACATGCTCAAAGTGGAACTTCTCCATGTGTAAAAGATCTGTGGATATTTGGGGTCATTTGTACCATGTGCTATCTGTAAACTCCCTTATTCTGATACCTTGCAGGTCACATGCCTACGGCATGGACAAGACTATGTTCTGGAGTGTGTTCACTGAAGCATTACACACTGCTGCCAAACTGAATGAAGACAACCTCTTCTACCATCGATCATCGTCGTTTCATCAAACTCTACATACCGCCCTCAAGAGCCCAGAGTCTGAAGAACCATCCAACATGGATGAACTCTTCCATCGTTGCTATGACGATGACACTCAGAGATCCGATCGACCAGACCATGTTAACTTCCGGAGGTTGCTCTGGAAGACGATGGAAGGATTTGTTGGGAAGGCTGAAGGACGATCTAGAGAGCTGTCTCCACTCTTGCTTCGATTTATCAAGTAAATTTTTGATGACCCATCACCTAAAAAAATATATTTAAACAAATCAAAAAGTCAACAGAAATAAGTTTTTAGTTTAATTTGATTCTAAAATGGGAGATTTCAGTTTTAAAATGATATATAACTTGTCACAATTGGATGTTCCTAACACTATGGGAAAGAGAGAAGGATGTTTTTTCTTAAAGAATGTTACTATAGAAAAAAAAGGAAATTAATGTTGAAGAAAGCCCACCTATCTATGGTGGTCATTTTCCGTGATTCCCGTAGCTAGCTTTAATAGACAGGTTTGTGAACTTGATAAGGGGTAAAATGTACCTTCTCTAAAATTAACTGGTCTCTTAACATATATGAGGTGAAATAAACATTTTTGTTGTTTTCAGAACTTCTGACATGAACAAAGTTTTTCTAATGTGCCACTGTAAGGGTTAAAATGTTGTTAAACATGATTGTTTTGACTCCCCTTCTTTTTAAATAACTCAGATGAGAGATAAATATTTTTTCTTCTCTCTTTCTGATGACAGGAATGAGTACCATGTGACTGATGTGAACAATGCTCCCACTCAGGATCTCAGACAGGTCAAAGGTCAAATCAATAGCCAATCAGATGGCGAGGAGGAGGATGAGAATGAAGATCAGAAAGGAAAGAAGAAACGTCCAGTCAGCAAGTAAGAGATCCCCCCCCCCCATTTCTGTAATTTGTTTTTCTCCCTGAGCTTTTCAATGTCTAGCTAGTCCCCCACTAATTTAAAGGTACTATGTCCCATTTGCAGGCCAAAAAATTAAAAGGTTAAATTCCAACAGCATTTGAAAGATAATACTAATTTAGAACTTCCCTAAAAAAGGGGGGCTTGGACATTTCTTTAGGTGGAAAAATAATGATTATTAGTTGTCGAATCGACTTAAGAGCTACATGTATAGAGCCAGTAAGTAATAGTCTGATTTTCAGACCATTGTACCGAATGGTCGTAAGCTTTGTGCTGCGCAAAGATTCAATCAGTTTAATTTTACCCATTACAAGAAGAGGGTTATTGATGTAGACAAATGCTCATGTACCCTTCACATCTCATTTTATGTATGTTATTACCAAAGAAAAAAAAAGCCAGTCCTATTAATTAGTATTGGATTCATGATTTTTCACCTTGGAAGTACTATTCATCTTTTTAGGTCCGTCTTGGCTCATCTGAATCTATTCAGCAAGTATAAGGATCCCAAATCACTCTATCTTGAACCTCAGCTCAAAGCTCTCTACATGAATGTAAGTATAGCATGTCTTTCAAGTTGCATTAGACTATGTGTTTGGAAGCTCACATTCTGTTATATTTATACAATTCAAGTCACAATACAATCGTTCTGAAGACACAGTTTAAAGCACAATTACTTTCAGTACTTGTGAGAAAAATTCTCGCACATTTTGAGGTCAAATACAAAGCTGGACAACAATACTTTTATGTATAGAAATTTATAGATCTACTGGTACATTGATTACCATACTTAACTGTTATTTACAATGCAGTACATTGATGTTTGTTTTCTTTGTATTAATGTAACACAGATATCCAGTTCATACTTTGGATATACTTAAATTTAAGGAAGTTTGGAAGAAACGAACTAGGAACTTTGAATTTTTTAAATTTTTATCTTTCCCAGCTGTTGTCAAGTAGAAATGCAGACATCCAGAGGGCTGCCCTCTCTTGTTTGTATACGTACAACTATAAATATCTGATGCCATATAGAGATCAACTGGATGAGTTGATGGATGACAAACTCTTCAAGGATGCCTTGGTTCACTTTGGTATTGATGAGACCACTGGAGTTATTGATGCTCTTCACAGAGAAGGACTACTACCTATCCTATTCAGGTATGTATTTCATTGTGATGTCATAGGGAAGGGTATTGTGATGTCATATGGAAGGGAATACATACCTATCCTATTCAGGTATGTACATTATTTCATTGTGATGTCATAGGGAAGGGTATTGTGATGTCATATGGAAGGGCATTGTGATGTCATAAGGAAGGGTATCATGACAAATGACACTTTGATGTCATAAGGAAGGGTATTGTGATGTCGTAAGGAAGGGTATCGTGATGTCATAAGGAAGGGTATCGTGATGTCATAAGGAAGGGTATCGTGATGTCATAAGGAAGGGTATCATGACAAATGACACTTTGATGTCATAAGGAAGGGTATTGTGATGTCGTAAGGAAGGGTATCGTGATGTCATAAGGAAGGGTATCGTGATGTCATAAGGAAGGGTATTGTGATGTCATAAGGAAGGGTATTGTGATGTCATAAGGAAGGGTATTGTGATGTCATAAGGAAGGGTATTGTGACTGCATGACAAATGCCATTTTGATATCATAGAGAAGGGGATTGTGATGTCAAAGGGAAGGGCATTGTGATGTCATAGGGATGTCCTGATTCCTTTTTGGAATTGATGAGACCTCTGGAGTTATAAATTTATTCTCTTCATAGAGAAGAACCACTATCTACCGTAATGAAGTATGTATTTCATTCTGATGTAATAGGAAAGGGCATTGTGATGTCATAGCGAAGGGCATTTTCTATCAATTCTGGGTTAATTATTCTAGTTTATCTATTCTTGATGCAAATATCTCTCAATCCTGTCTCAATATTGTGACCCATGTTCAGGATCTTGTACGGGAAGATGCTGAGTAAGACGAGTCCTGGAACCCAGGGCAAGGGAGGGATAGCAACCAGAAGATCAGTCATTCTTCGGTTCATTGCTGGATCAAACACAGAGGAGATGAAAGTCTTCATGGATCTTGTGTTGGAACCTTGTAAACACCTTATCAAAGGTAGATGGAAATGTCACTTATCATAGTGATGATGATCGTGATGATGATGATGATGGCAATGATGATGGTGATGATGATAATGATGAGAATGGTGATCGCTGAATTGCAGTTTTGATGATGATGATGAAGAAGATGATGATGATGATGATGATGATGATGATGATGACGAAGATGATGATGATGATGATGATGATGATGATGATGATGACGAAGATGATGATGATGATGATGATGATGATGATGGTGATGATGATGATGATGATGGTAATAATGATGATGGTGATGATGGTGAGGATGATGATGATAATGATAATGAAAATGATGATGATGATGATGTTTTGTTGGTGATGATTATTGTGATGATGATTGTGATGGTGATCATTCAGTAAGATTTACTATAGAGGAAGGCTGTCATATTAATGTGTCAGGTATGATGAGTAGTGATATTTGTCACATTTTTATTTGCTGATGCTTTCTATGATCTTGATACTATGTTTATGATCTTGGTGACACCTTACAATTCTGTTACCATTCTACCTCTCTTCATCTTGATCTATTGTAGATGACCTGGATGCCATGCGAACTGAATGGCTATCTCAAGATCTCAGTGCAATGGTTCCCCTTAGAAAGCAACACAGGTTTGTTTACATCCTAAATTAAACATTTGACAGTATTCCAGGGGTACCATTAGAAGTGTCATGGCCGAGTGGATATGTCACCGGACTGTGGATCACAAGGTCTGTGGTTCAAGTCCCGTCGTGGCACCAATGTCCTTTGGCAAGACATTGATCTAAATTTGCCACTCTCTACACAGGTGTTAAATAGGTACCCGGTAGGATGCGAAAGTTATTGTGGTTGGATGAGCAAGTGGCACTTTTAAAATGGCGACTGGCTGGAATGCTCCCCAGAGAGTGGAAAATGTGCATACATTGTGTTGCGGGTAAGCCTGATCCGATGACCGGGGTAATAATATGTGCTGCGCCTAGAAACAAAGTATTAGGCGCATTATAAATGTGAGATATTTTTATTATTATTATTGTTATTAAGAACATAAGATTGTCGTCCTTGTACAGTTTTAGTAATTTCATTGTGGGCAAATTTTTTTAAATTCCAAATGATAGGAATGAAGAGAAAACCATCAGATTACCCCTTAGAAACAATCAAAATGAAGTTTACATGTATGTCCTATAAATTTGTTTTTCTTTGATAGTGGCAATAGGAAACAGAAAAATGGGAATGTAGTCCATGATTTGAGTAGCTCAGACTTTTTCTTCAACAAGATTTTGCTGCATGTGTGTTTGAACTTTATTTGATTAATCTTTAGCAGCTTCCGTATTTAAAGGGAATTTATGGCAGTATATTTATTTGCTGAAATTTGGTTGTATATTTTCTCTATTTGTCTCTAATATTCACATCAGAGAGTACAATGTGGAATGTACAGTGTACATGTATGTTTATGAGTGAACTAATGACAAGGTAATATCCATGACCATTCTGCTGGGAAGCACATCTACTATTCAAATTCATAAGAGAATACATCGTTGTAAAGCGGACTCAAATTGCATTTTTTTTCAGTACGCTGGACACCGTTGGAGTAATCTTCAGTAAGTTAGGTCATCTGATGGACTCATACCGCCCTCTACTGTTTCGGTTGATCACATGTGCAGTAGCGAGCTACAACCAGTTGTTATCAAAGAGAGATGAAGTAAGTATATGTACAGTTTTAGTAGGCCCTTAAAACCCTTTTTTTAACATTTTGTTTTAAGGTGATAAATAATAAGACACTATCAATAACAAGCTGTTGTGAAGATTTTTTCTCCTTAAGTGAAATGTTAAAGAAACGAAAGGTAGAAGAAGGTAGATCCCGAATACATGTCCAAATCTTGCATTAATCCATGCTGGTAGGACATCAACTCCTCTATGTTTCCTTTAACAGATCTGGGGAATGTTTCACAAAGACTAAGATCGACTTTAAGTTGGACCTAACTATGGCAGGCTATTCTTGCCACTGGTTGCTCTCACCATTGGTCTCTCAATTATGATCTGTAGATAATATTTTTTTCCTTCAACAATGAACTATCAAAAAATGTAAATTCTGTAGATTTGTGACCATGCTTTGTACGTCCCTTGAGAGAGCAATGCCGGTAAATGGTGAGAGCAAACAGTGGCATGAACGGCCTGCCATAGTTAAGTCAAACTTAAAGTCAATCTTAGTCTTTGTGAAACACTCACCTGGAAGCAGTAAAGTTGCCTGGAATTCCAGAATATGGGAAATATACTGATGCTGTTTGTAAACTATCTCAACTTGAATTTCTGCAAAATAATCCTGATACATTTTTGCTTTGAGTGATCTGACAAACGTAATGAAATTTAAATCATCATCAATAGTGATCTGTCAGTTTATGACAGGTTCAGTAACCCAATCAGAATGCTACATCTAGTGTCTCTCTAAGTATCTCGGTCTTAAACTGTCCATTTTAGAATTTCATATCCTGTTGCTCCACATTCTGCGATTAAATCATCTAGGAAGCCTGTATCTAGAAAGCCTGTACGAGGTCTTCCCCTCATCTTCTTTGAAATAAGGATTTGAATTGTTTGTTCTTTTAGCTTCAACCATTCTGCAGAAACCAAGTGAAGAATCTCCGTCAGGTGTGCATCCAGCGGCTGATCGACTTCTTTGGCCGGTTCAACGAGTATCCATTCACAGAGAGGGAGATTGAGGCAGTGTTTGAAGGAGCCGTCTTTCCTCAGCTGAACGAGCTAACATCACAGAGTTTGGGAGCACCATCGCCGTTACTCAGGCTGGCTCATACATGGAGCCAACAAACTAGGTGAGTACAGAGAGGGAGGGAGAGAAGAAGGAGGAGGAGGAGATAGAGGGAGGGAGGGAGGGAGAGAAGCAGAGACAGAGAGAAAGGGACAGACAGACAGAAGGGGACAGACAGACAGAGTGAAAGAAGAGAGGCAAGGAGGGAGGGAGGAAGATTGAGAGCTATGACAAATCTTAAGTACTACATATTATAAATGATAATAATAATCAGGATTTATTTAGCACTTAATGCGAAATACAATCTCTCAGCACTGTACAGATATTATTTCCTTTTCATCATATTCATTCTCACACAATGTGCACCTTCTCCACTCCCTGGGGTGTATTCCTACCATTATGGTTACCGAGAGGGCATATGGCAATTACTAACACAAAGCCTTTTGTCATCCTAACAGGTCCCTATTTCAGGGATGCCAGTTTTCAGGCAATAGCCTGAATTCAAGCCCTGAAAAGTTATTTTCAAACCATAGTTAGGGCTTTATTGTGTATAAAATAGCTCACTCTAGTTGATTTTCAGGCCTTCTGATCAATTCTAACTGGCATCCCTGTCATTTCTCTCCTGAGTATTTAGTGGCACATGTAGATTAAAGCCTTGCCAAGGGACATTAGGGACGAGTCAGGGATCGAACCCATGACCCTTGCATTTAAGTCGAGTGCTTTTACCACATGACTACAACCCCTCTAGTCTGCAGATTGTGGTTGTTATGTTATGGGTACCTGGCAGGAATTAATTCCTTGAAATGCTGGAGCGCTCTAATGGCAGATAGGCTAAAGCCAGGGTAATAATAAATGCGCCTCAGAATAGAATTTCTAGATAGACAGCGCTATAGAAATGCCTTTTATTATTATTATGTTATTGGTTTGGTTTGTGTGCAGGTATCACCATCTACTGATAAAGCCCCAACCCGATGACCTCGGTATGACCTTACTGCATCAGACCATCGGCCTCCTCTCTGCTCCTAAGGTCTGTCAATCAGTGGTAACCATGGTGATGGACATCATAGACAACCTTCTGATGCTGAAGGAGGAGGAGGAAGAAAGCAGTGTTCCATTGAAAAAAGTGGAATCTGAGCCTACAGGTGATTCATTCCCATACCCAATGCTTGATAGAGTGGTTTGATTTGATTTGATGTTTATTTATTCCTTATACATCAACATATTTACATTTACAATCTTTTAGTATTAGTTTTAACAGCATGTATCATTCAGTTTTGAATATTTACGCAGACTGCCTGAATTTCAAATAGTTGGGGCAAAACAAAAAGTGAATGATTATTTAAGAAGGGGGAGGTGTTTTTTTCATCTCAGAAGTTGAAAAATATCTTGGGCATTTAAAGAGATCGGGTAACTTTGTCTCAGACTCTGAAACAAAATCCTGGATTTAGCTCATGCTGCAATGATAAATATAAAACTTTAGGTCAGTCAGGAACCCCATGACTTTTACAAGCTGATCGCTTGTCTGATTATCAAGATATTTATGATTGGAAATCAAAATCAAATTTTGCATTTCCTAACAGTTTTCATAACACTATAGTCTATTGGGGAAAACAAGTATGGTAAAACGGTCACTCAAAAGATATTTTACTTTTTTGAGGCACTTCTTGATCATTTTGAAGCGCAATTTTTTAGGGCTTTAATATTACACTATATTACAGACACTGAAAACACATAGGGCCGTGCATCTCAGATTTAACATTGTTAAACGATGCCTTTAAATGAAAAGTAACAATTTGTGTATTTGTCGGTGTTTTGATAGGTGAGCTGAGCCTTGGTGCATCCATGCTTCTACCTCACATTCCTGCCATTCTCACACATCTCAACGGTGCAATCAAAGTACAACACAAGCCTGGATCAAAGACTAATGGTACTCCTACATTGCCTGTCAAAGAGTTAGGCATCCTCTATAAGTAAGTTAGTCTGCTTGTCAGACTTTATTATTAATATCATTATTTGGCAAAGACACACATTCTCAAACATGTCAATGGTACATCAAAGTTCAACACAAGCCTGGATCAAAGACTAGCGGTATTCCTACCTTGCCTGTCAAAGAGTTAGGTTATTAGTAATCTTATTAATTTGCAAAGACAAAAGCAAGAAATGGTGAATACAAAATACAGGTTAGATTTTGGATCACATGGATGCCTGGAAAAATAAAAAGACAAAATAACGTATAACCCTGAGGTCTTCGTTTTCCAATCCATGTGACTTTACATAAACAAAAAGCACAGAAGAGCAAGATACAACAAATAGTGAATTGCAAGTATGATAAATTAGAGAAAAAGAAAAAGAAAACAAACAATGATGTAGAGTTAACAACTAAATTATTCATAATGTTACCAAGCTTTGTTACTTTTAAAGTATGCAAAAAATTGATTTGTCCTGATTTACGTTTCTTGAGAATGTGACAAATCTTAAAGCTTACATCTAGAAGTATTCAACGAAGGCTTCAAGACAACCAATCCACCTTTCATTCTTGAGTTATGAAAAACACAAAATGTTATGAGGGGTATGAATAATATAGTTATTAACTGTAAATTTTGAGGTTTGGGTCGGGTTTCTTGCTTATTTGTGGACTTTGTGATCATATTTTAGACTTGTTTAATGAAACAAATAATTCCTGTTTTGAAGTCTTCACATGTCTTGTTTATTATCCGATTTTGATTTGACTTGCGTGTACTTGCAAACATGAATTATTTGTAGACTATTGACATTTTTATAAAATTCTATTTAACAGGATGAGTGGGTTTGTAGAAGCCTCAGATCTGTGTTCATCTCTTGTTGGATTGCTTCTTCCGTACCTTCAAAAATCGTCGAGAATCTCAGAGGTTAGAATTATATATATAATTTAAAGATAAATTTAGTTCTGGTAAAAAAAAAGAAAATGAATTCTCACAGAATCAAATCAAATGTCATTTTTCAAACGATTTACCGGTAGGTAGAAAATGTATACTGGCTGAGTAATGAGCACAGAAAGGTTAGTAGCCCTGACACCATTTGTGTAGTTCATATACATCTTTCTGTATACAGTGCTTGTTACTTTACCAAGACTGGGCCAAATTTGATGCAAATTTTGTACAGATATTGACATGCGAATAAAGAGTACAGCTGTATAAACTTTCTTTTTCTTCAGATGCATATTTATAGGTATTTATCAATATTTTGTTTAAAAATTAGCTATGAAGGTCAATCTTTTAAAAAAGTGTGTCTGTAGCAAAGTCAACAATATTGTGATGAAAAATATTTTATATGAAATGACCCCCCCCCCACTCTCCTCAGTCAGCATTGGGTTAAGAGTACTAGGGTTTTACATGTATATGCTCTTTTAGCTATATTTTTGAGCATTTTCAAACAAATGTATCAAGATCTAGTATGACAAAATATGTCAGAAAATATTCTGATTGAGAATTAATTCAAACCGACACCTGATTTTCACACAACCTTATGCTTTTACATGTTAAAACCTGTTGTGGACTTGACTCTTGTTGTTTGATAATAATCCGTTCTTGCATAGCGCAAAGGACATTACAATATAACGTCCCTATGTACTTCCAAAGAGCCTTGGAAATTGTTCCCCTAGCTTTAGCTCTAGCAGCCATTGTCAGCTCCCAGTGCATTTCTTGGAAAAATCCTATCAAGTACCCATTTACCTCACCTGGGTGGAGTGTGGCAAATGTAGATTGAACTCTAACCAAAGCATGTGGCAGGGTTTCGAACCTCGTACCTTGCAGTTCACAGTCCGGAGACTTACCCAATGGACCACAGCACCTCTACATCCCAGTTGAAAATACATGTACTTTGCCCTTTTTCATTTTTTTCAGAACACAGAGGTTGAGATCCTTAGCACCATCAAGAACCTGATGAAGTTGATCGACGATACAAGCTGCTTTCTCAAGTGAGTTGTCCTTTTACTCCTATGCCATCAACCTCTTGAACACATTTTAATTAAATTATAAAGTTTCATTATTACATATCTCATTAAGAGTTTGATAGGTAACATAAGCCTGATCCGGATAGTACATGTCTTTACCAGCTCCATAAACTAATAATGTGGCTCTACCTTTGTGTGATAAAACTATGATTTTCAATATCTATGCATTTTGCGTTCTGGACGAGTCTTTTCATGCTACAACATTTTGCTAAGCTACATGTACCTTACTGTTAACCCATAGGCTACAGAAACCGGTTGGTCGCTGTGTTAGGTCTATGGGAAGGTGGAAACTCAGCAGTCTAGGGGTTAACACGATTGATGTTTTTTTTTTTAGCCCAGTATCCAGACTTCTCTACCGGACTACATCCCGCAACCCTCGTCTGGTCCTGGTCCAGATCTTCTCTGCCATGGCAACCAGAGACCCCGCCCTCGACGAGATAGCTCGTACCGTGTCACGGTTGAATGCTTGGGACAGGAAGCGATTGGACGCACCCGATTACACATTACGTTTGAAAGCATTCAAACTAGCCAATCAGATGCTAGAAGATGATGGCCAGAAGTTGGACGTGCGATTCTTTACTCCACTCATTCATAACTGCTTCTATTTCATCCTCAAGGTATGATGTGTTAACAATCACTGCACAGTCCTTGCAAAACTATTTCAACCTGGTAGTAGAACATTTAAACCTGGATGTAAGAACTGTTCATTCAACCCTAAAAGTATTTGAATATTTCATTCTCAAGGTAAAAGTCAATGTACATTCTTTTAAAAATTCATAATATTTCAATTCAAATAGCAATACAAAGCACTTTGAGATGACATCCGAGAGTCAGTGCCAGTAGTTAAAATATACAGTGCGTCCCAGAAAAAACGAAACCGTGAATTATCAATGTTTTATCATAGACGAAAGACTTCATGCATGGCTGATTGTCAACGAAATGGAGAAGTCTTTTGTCAATTCTGATTGTTGCTACGGCAGGCAGCTAGTGAAAACTTATTTGTTTGATAAAAATATGGAAATGCAAGCTCTACTTTAAACAAACAGAACTTTGTCATTCCTTGCTCATTTTTCCTGATTGAGGTGTCATATTAAAGGGCAGAAACTCAACTTTCTAGAAATGTGATTTTCTCTTTGAAATTCAGAAACCGTCCGCCAAATGACTTTTTGGTTTCCTCTCTTCAAATTGATTTTAATCACTCATGCATGAAAGATGCATCATATGAGTTGCATCAATTGAAAGAGGAGGATCTAAGCTTTCCAAATATGTGACATTTATTAATTGTAAATGTGACTAAGTTATGATAAAACATTGTGATATTTCTTCGGTTTCGTTTTCGTTTTTCCTGGGACGCACTGTATATACAAATTAACAAACAGTGACAGTGCAAGTTCAATGAATGCATATGGTTTGAGAATATATACGTCTTCAAACTGTTTCAATTGTTCTACCGTTGGTGATGATTTCAATTGAGGAGGGAGCCTGTTCCAGATGACTTTTTGGTTTCCTCTCTTCAAATTGATTTTAATCACTCATGCATGAAAGATGCATCATATGAGTTGCATCAATTGAAAGAGGAGGATCTAAGCTTTCCAAATATGTGACATTTATTAATTGTAAATGTGACTAAGTTATGATAAAACATTGTGATATTTCTTCGGTTTCGTTTTCGTTTTTCCTGGGACGCACTGTATATACAAATTAACAAACAGTGACAGTGCAAGTTCAATGAATGCATATGGTTTGAGAATATATACGTCTTCAAACTGTTTCAATTGTTCTACCGTTGGTGATGATTTCAATTGAGGAGGGAGCCTGTTCCAGAGTTTGGAAGTAGCAGAGGAGAAAGTAGCCTTGTCAGCTCTATTTTAAAACCGAATTGTATTTCAATCTGATAGTAAAACGTTTAAACCTTGATGTAAGAACTGTGCAGTTGACCCTATTTGAATACCTTTACAACTTTGAGATTGAAACTTTTGAAAAGGATGGTTCATGTTAGTGCAATGTAGTTAGAATCCAAGCTTCATTTATCTACCGTATCCTTTCTCTATGTCTTTCTGTATTTATACATGTACATGTAGAATAGCCTGTAAGTACAAAGCATACAAAACTACAAATGTCAATGACGATTTTGATTTTGACGACTCCAGAACCTTGCAGTACACACCAATACTTATTTAGAGATATGAGTGTGAGGTATTGTGAATGGATATTTGAAAGCGTGTTCACTCGTCACACAACATAACTCTTATTTTTATTTTAGCTACGAGGAAGCAAGGTTGCACTGACAATAAAATACATGAAAGAAAGTATTCCCTTTTCGTTATTTTATTGGGTACTGAACAAAGCTGACAATGCACTTGCAAAGTGCAGTCAAGCAAATATAGCAGACTTGAAAATGTGAATATTGCACGAAGATTACATAATGATTAAGGATGAGAATGAACATGAATAAATGCGATGTACATAATGAATGAAAGCTTACGACAGAATAGAAATGGCGTCGAAAGTCCAATGAAGATGAAGAGAGTTGAGAAACGAAGGAAGGGGCTCACGCGATGAATGTACGGAGGCTTGAAGGCGGAGATGCAGCTTCGTATTCGTGGCTGAAGAGCGGTGAAGGATCTCGACGCTGACGCTCGTGATAAAGATGTGGTTGAAGCTCTCAGGCGAGAAGAGAAGAGAAGAGATGTGGCGCTCGACGACGAAGCAGTGAATCGCTTGATGTCGGAGGCAAAGAGTAGAAACGTAGACATGCAAAGCCGGCACTGGTGCTGAGTAGTAATAGTTGCTCGTTTGATGCGCCGGACTTTGATGAAGAAATGTTTAGATGAGCTGCGGTGAAATGATGAGCTCGTGAGTGGAAAGAGCTACCGGAACGAAGAAACTGGCAGCTCCCAGCGGAGAGTCAGGCGCCATGTCGGTGCTGACTATAACGTTCCACTGGGAGACTGCAGCCCGATGAACACGGCAGGGAAAGAGTTGACGTGCCGTAGAAAAGACGAAAGGCACAGAAGAATAGAGCCTGGAGAGGAAATTGCGGAGACGTCTTGACTCGACCAAGGTGAAAGCGGGAGTGGAGAAAAACCTCGTGGCGTTGAAAATACGCGGGGTGAACAGTGCGGAACCACGATGCGCGATTGGAAAGAAATACACACGTGGCCCGAATAATGAATATAAATAAGTAGCGTGATGGAAAAATACTGGTGACATGAATGTACGGTAAAAGTAGGGCGAATGTAAGAGCCGCTACACTTACATGCTATATGATCAACTGTTTCTTATCCAATCCACACCTTTTCTTTCACAATGCAATTGCATGACCAGAACTCAACTTTATCTTTAAACTTCACTCACATTTGATGGCAGCTGTCATGACAACCTATATTGTTTGTTTTCAAGATGGATGACATGGCATTGAGAGATAATGCTACTCACATGATCTGTGGAGTCATCAAGAAGCTTCTGAAGGACGACTCAGCCTTCGTCACAATCATAGAGCATACATTCATACCTGCATTGAGAGATGGGCTTAGAGCTAGGACAGAGGTAAGATGAGATTTATTGTAGTCTTTCGCTTCAGACTTTGTCACTAATATGCAGACATGGTTCTTTCTTTCAACATTTTGTTGATTGTATACCGTAATTAACGGTGTATTAACTCCATTTTTTTAAACGCCGGTAACCATCAAAAGTCGGGGTGTGCGGTTTATACACGTTACAGACACAAATCATGCTGCAAAGTCCAGGTAAACAATCTCCACGTTCAGCAGCGGTCAAATTGTGTCACCGAGGCTGAAGTTCTTGGCTTACTTAAATATCATCGTCCTGAAAGTGACACTCGTTTTCAACGCTTTTCAAATCATCCATCGAAAGTTCTGACATCAGAAAAAATATTTCTAATGTAAATTTTATATTATAATCTTGTATCTAATAAATTTTCATGTAATTTCTATGATGCGAAATTATGAAATTTTGGGCCAGGAATTGTGCTCTGTCACTGCCAAGTCAATCATAATTGTGTTGGGATTGTTGACGTACGCCGTGCGGTGGATACAAATGTGCATTGTCCCACGTGTGATAATTCATGTAGTGAGATGAAGAAATATGTGACGATGAAAAAAAAAAGAAGATTTCTAGCAATATTTTGTATGTAAATACATGTAAATATTTTTTACTCTCCTGGACATTTAATAGTTATGTTGCTTGTTATGAAATACCTTCCTGAGAGGGAGGTTGCGTTTTATAAATCTTTGAAATTTTCTCTCCTGGATGTAAGGTCGCTCGTCATGAAAGTTTGGTCGTCCTTTCTGAGCTTGTGAAGGCCTTCCCCACTCACCCACACTTTGAAACCATGTCGGTGCTTCTGGATCAGGATGTGGAAGTAGACTTCTTTGAGAACATCAGACATATACAGGTAAGATAGGGAGAATGAGAGAGAGAGAGATATATATATATATATATATATAGAGAGAGAGAGAGAGAGAGAGAGAGATAGAGAGAGAAATAGAGAAAGAAAGAGCAGGAGAGAGAGAGAGAGAAAGAATAAGAGAGATAGACAAACATCATTGCATACATGCATACAGAGAGATAGAAAGAGAGACAGAGGAGGGGAGGGGGGGGGGGGGGAGAAGGAGAGAAAGAGAGAGAGGGAGAGAGAGAGATAGAGAGGGAAATAGAGAAAGAGTGAGGGGGAGAAAGAGAGAGAGATAGAAAAAGAAAGAGGGGGAGAGAAAGAGAAAGAGAGATATATAGGGAGAGAGAGAGAGAGAGAGAGAGAGAAAGGGAGAGAGAGAGAGAGAGGGAGAAGAGGAGAGAGAGAGAGAAGAGGAGAGAGAGAGAGAGAGAGAGACTAAAAGATAAATCTAGAGTTGAGAGAGTACTAACCAAAGAATTGTCATGCATTGCTACATGTAGGTCTCTGCTATTGGAGAACAAATTTGTTTCTTTTGAAAATTAGTTCTTACATATTGAAGAAGCTTGCACCACAGAAAGTGAATATAGTATTAATGACTGCTTTGAGAGAAATAGTTGTTGTTATACGCTCAAGGGAAGGTTAGAATTGTGCTATTACCCGAGGCGTGCCGAGGGCAATAGCCCAATTGTAACCTTCCTGAGAGCGTATAAAAACAACTATTTCTCGAATATTAAAGCAGTCATTAATACTTTTATATGCCGAAAAAAAATAGACTAAAAAATAAAAAAAAATTTTTTTTTTTTTTTTTTGTCGAAGATGGGATTCGATCTCTTGCGTACCAATGGTGATGTAACCAAAATCAGCGCCTTAAACCGCTCGGCCATTGCGCTCTGTCACCATATCTAGCAGTTTTCTCTAATATATATATATACATTAAAATGGATTGAAAACGGCTTCGCGTGGTGGATGCTTCGCCGCGGGCTCCATTAAACGGGCCCTTCTTTTACTTTTACTTTTGCAATGCATATTGGCACAAACTTAGATCAAGATCTATCGGCAGATGTTGTTTTTTTGTTTTTGGAAGTTTATTTTCGTCTTCATGTCAACAATGCAAGATAAAATTGATCGAGATTGAATTGTATTGAAATTACCGACCAATTCTTCGCACACGTACGGTATCCTCGATCGCTCAGACCATTTTTTAACATGGTAACCTATGGGGTAACCATGGAGACTGAACTATTTTCCTGGTAACCATGGTTACTGGGATTTTAGAACTGTTTTAACCATGGTTACTGGGAATTTTACAGAAATAGTTCAAGTTTATGAATGCAATTTCGACCAATCAGATGGCTGGATTTCTTAAGTGAGGTATATAAAGCTTACTATAACATGTAATTTTGCCACTGATTGTGTAACAAGAATTTACATTCAAGTCACATCACCATCCCATGAATCTCTTCTGAAATGTGTTTCTTTTATTTACGAATCATTAGCATCATCGGAGAATGAGGGCCCTTCGTCGCCTCTCCAAATACTGCCAAGAGGGGAAGCTCTCACCAAAGGTCGTCCAGCACTTTCTCCTTCCCGCTGCGACCTCCATGATCTTTGACCCCGAGGTTGCTAAGAACATGAACCTTGTAGTGGAGGCAATCGCAGCCGTGGGTGGCATGGCTTCTGCGCTGCCATGGCCACAGTATCTAAGCCTTCTAACGCAGTATTTAAGATTGCTCATGAGGAGTATTGATTTCCAGAAGATAGCTGTCAGGTGAGATTTCTTTTTCATAATGAAACAAAATATTCGGGTTAAGAATGGGTTAATACTATGTTTCTTATTGCTTTGTCTATGATTGTTATTGAACGTGTCATTAGATTTAAGTGCTATTGTTGCAAAGTACATATTTTACATTCTTCTCTCTGCGGGTCCTCTTGTACATACTAATATTTGTTTTGGTTTCATTTATTCATTTCATAATTCAATTAAAATACAATTCAAACAGACTAAAATACTCATACATATACTTAGGTTTGCTCCATCCTTCCGTACAGTGCTCGATGCCTAGGCAGAGCAAAAATATATTGAATGAGGCAGACTAATGGAACATGGTTGCCTTACAAGCGATCATCAGCAACTGATACTTACAACTTACAACCTTTGCATTTAAAGTCAAGTGATTAAATCACTCGACTTCAGCACCTCTACAAAGAAAGTATAAGAATATAGCACTTGTTTGTGAGATATTTTTAATGTATTGCCGATAACAAAAATGTTCTGCTTTGAATCCGTCACAGATTGATTGTTGCTGTCTTGGATGCTTTCCACTTCGATCTCTCGCTGTCTGCTGGATTGGATAACAAGGAGAAAAAAATCTTTCAAGGTAGAAATATATTTCATTCTGGAATCAAACCTTAAAGGTCGGGTGATATCCAATTATAAGTTGATTCCTGTTGATGTGCAGGGCTGCATACAACTCATATTTTGTTATTCGAACATGTAACTATGTTTCATAGATTTTTAAATATTTAAAATAATAATTTTCTCATACCTGCTAAGCTCCACCCCAAAAAATGCTCCAGATCTCGTTCATCTTGTGACATCATCTGTCAATCATTAGTGAGCTAGGGTGGAGCTTAGCAGGTCTGAGAAAATTATTTTAAGAAATATTTAAAAGTCTGTGAAATATATTTAGGTAGATGTTTGAATAAGAAAATAAGAGTTATATGCAACCCTGCACATCAACAGGAATCAACTATATTTGGATGTCTCCCGACCTTTAAATGGATCTTTTAACACTGTTAAATCTGATATGATGTGATATGATGTAATATTGAAGCCCTAAAAAAATTGCGCTTCAAAATGATCAAGAAGTGCCTCAAAAAAGTAAAAATCTTTGAGTGACCGGTTTTACCATACTCGTTTTCTACAATAGACTGTAGTGTTATGAAAACCGTCAGGCGAACGGTTTTCAAAATTTGTAATCCCAATTATTAATATCTTGATAATCAGACAGGCGATCGGCTTGTAAAAGTCATGGAGTTCCTGACTAACCTAAAGGTTTATAATTATCAATCCAGCATGAGCTAAATCAAGGATTATTTCTAAAGGATCTAAGACAAAGTTACCGGATCCCTTTAAAGGGATTGGGTATCTTTGTCTCAGATTCTGAAACAAAATCCTGGATTTAGCTCATGCTGCAATGATAATTATAAACCTTTAGGTCAGTCAGGAACCCCATGACTTTTACAAGTCGATCGAGTGGGGAAAATGAGTATGGTAAAACCGGTCACTCAAAGATTTTAACTTTTTTGAAGCGCAATTTTGTTAGGGCTTCTATATTACAACACATCACAGACACTGATAACATGTGGGGCCATGCTTCTCAGATTTAACATTGTTAAACGATGCCTTTAATACATTTATTTCCTTTTCACAGAAGATGTCAAACAACTTGAAGAAGGTGGTGATGATAAGGAGATGACACCTGGAGAGGAGGATGACTTGGCGACAAAGGAAGATGATGAAGAAGATGACGATGCTCAAGAAGAGAAAGACGAGAGCGGAGATGATAGTGGTATAGATGAAGAGAAGGATAAGAAGGAGATAGAGAAGAAGAAACAAGTCGCCTTGGCAACTAAGATCCATCGTACAATCGTTCGTAGCATCCTTCCACAGCTTCATAGGATCATCACCAAGAGTGTAAGATATCTTCTCATCTTTTTTTGGAAAAGAAAAAATGACCTGTAGTCACTCTTCTTGCAAAACTTTCTGTTATGATTCAAGCAATGATTAAAAAAGAAATATGAATATGAATTGCTGTGTAATGGTAAAACCTGCTTTAGAAAGACCACCTGTCTATATTGACCACATATTCCTGTTTCCTTACAACAGTTCTTCTCTTTAAAACACATTCTAAATGAATCTGTACATTAGGACCACCTACCTTAAAGACTTATTATGGTTCAGTGGTTCATTTTGGAACTTATAATTAAGTTTACATGCATGTACATGCTCTTCGCCTTCAAACTTTTTTGTATCCTTTCTCTTTTTTTCCTTATATTCCTAAAAGCGCATGGGGACTCCATTTTCTGTGATATGTGCTATAGTATACAAATAGTGAATGGTCATGAGTGCAATGGTACAAGATTTTGCACGAGGTGAAAGATAAGAGACGCTATATTCAACGAGGCGCAACCGAGTTGAATGGAGCGTCTCATCTTTAACCGATTGCAAAATATTGTTCCATTGCACGAATAAAGACCATTCACTATTTGTTTTATACAACACCTTGGACGTGAACGGACTTTTTTCCTTGGCCTAAATCTCAGCGATTTTTTGTTCGTTTTCAATTGATGAAATTGCTGATGGTGAGCGCGCACTATTAAGCAGGCAGCAAACCACATGCGTACCATGCGCCGCGTGTACCAACCTTTATGTTTAATGTGACGCGGAGTGCAATTTTGTTTGATCCTTTTGCACCATTGCACTCTGACGTCACTTAGCTCACCATATACTTCAGAGTGCAATGGTGCGAAAGGATCAAACGGAATTGCACGGCTGGAGAATGATGCCGTTCAATGGTACTTTTAGCACATATCATGTGATCAAGAATTGACCAATGAGGTTGCAAGAATCTTAATAGGCGTTGTATAAAAGTACATATAATGTAGAACCACCTTATCCCTCTTTGGGACAGTCATCCATATTTTATGGTTTGGCTCTGTACATTTTTATTCAGAGCTCTAGAAATTTGACCAGATGCAAGAAAAGAAATTGCAATTTTTTTATCACATAATATTTCCTTTTTTGTTTCATGATCACATTGCGTTTAAAGTTAGGAATTTTATAAAGGGAGAATATTTAAGTATTAAAATCTTTCAATTGGCAACACGTTGAGAGGATCAAAATCATGGTTTTAGATCAACATGGGCATTTTTTCAGTTTTTCTCAATTTTATCTGCAACTCATATTTCCAAAGGCATTGCATATTATTAAAACAATATAACATAAAGAAAAAAATATTATTGTTGCCAATTTGAAGAACAATTTGCGATCAAGTTTAATACGAATCAGTTAAAATCAAGCAAGTCCTCCCTGTATGATATGCCCATCATGATATGCATTTTATTGTTTTCATAGACAAAAAGTGAAGGAGAGCACAAGAAAGCAAGGAACCGGATAGCACAGGATGAAGAGGTTTTAAGAGTTCCTATTGCTCTGGCCGTCATTAAACTGCTACAAGCACTACCAAAAGAAACTATGGACCAACATCTATTCAGGTATATGAGCTGTTTATATACCACGTTATGTAGTTTCTAGGCCTTCAAAATTACAAACACATATAAAATATATCCACAACATTATTAAAAAAGAATATTTCAAAGGCAGGTTGGCTTTGGAACGTCTTTCCAATGCCTTTTGTACACACAGCCACGGAATGAACGCTAATGGCACTAAATGTATATTCACTGTGTTTCATTCGTTGTTTTTTTCGGAGTATTTACCTTTAATCGGTTTTCCAATGTTGTGTCTGACTGATAAAGGAATAATATTCTTCACATTTCTTATGTTACACAGTGTGCTATTGAAGGTTTGTCAGATGCTACGTAGTCGCGCCTTGGATGTGCGTAACATCACAAGAGATACCTTGGTGAAGATCGTAGACTCGCTGGGTGTGAAATACTTTGGTCTGATCCTCAAACAGCTCAGGACGAGTCTCAAAAGAGGTTTTGAGGTAAGTAGGTACTCTGTAATCAGTCGGTTTATTATCCATTGGTCTACAACTGATTCAAATATCCAGTTGTGAAAATTGTGTAATAATAAAATTAAAACAAAATAATGTATGACGTTATTTGCAGACGTGAATCCCATTGTCAAAATTAATCCCATCAAGGTCTACATTGTGTCTAAAGCTCTTGATAAAATTTCTTGATTAAAAACACTTGACGAAAGGGCTTTCGAAGGATTAATTTCCTTGAATGCTTGGGAAATCGTAAGAAATTGGGAGTGGATAAAGTGTTTAAATCGAGAAATGGTGTTTGGTCTACGACCAGTTCGTCTACTACCCAATTGGTCTATTCCCATAGGATCTACACCCAGCCTGTCTACTATCCACATGGTCCAATAATCATTTAATCTTAAATAATGATAATCATCAAATGGATCATAGTGTAAAGTGTCAAATTAGAGTATGTGCTTGCAGAAAACACTCTATAAAATCTGCTAACACTCTTTTTTTGTATAGATGACATTTTAATACTGTTTTGTTTATTCTTGACAGCTCCATGTACTTGGTTTTACCGTTCACCTTCTACTGAAGAACATCTCACCCAAGCTGACCTCCGGCGACCTAGATGGCTGTTTATTCTCTCTCATACAGGTATTTATAGTCAACTGATCTAGGCCGTGTGGCATAAAAGTTAGCATTGATGGTAACTTTGCCATCAATATTAACTACCATGGCAACATCCGTCAACAGCCAATCGATAGATTTCCATGGAACTTACCATTAATTGCAAAGTTACCATCAATGCTAAGTTTTATGGAACGGGGGCCCAGGGCCAGTATTTAATACAATACTTATGTCAGAAACATAAATATTTAACTCAGCTTTCAGCTTAGGTAAAAATAAACTCAGCCAACTTTGGTATTCAGTTTAAGTTTTTTTGCTAAGTATGTTACCCTAAGTTTAAGACAGTTTTCTAACAGGCTTAAGCCAATTATTTTGGAGGCCTTGATTGGCAGGTATTATGGTTTTCATCCATGCCTTATTTGTTCTAATGAGTACTGGTAGGCTAAACAAACTAAACACCAAACACATTAGAATATGACCACATTTAGGATGAATTGCAATTTGATTAGATGTACCGGTAATGATGTTGAAATATAGAATCTTCCTGACAGAGAAAGCTTCTCAATATGTAAGTTTCTGATGTAAGAAAATGGCTAGAATTTAGGAATAGTGCTACAGTACTTGTCTGACTTTCCCCAATTTTTGGCTTTTTTGCAAGGCATGTGTGAATTCCTCTGTGCTATCCGTGTGACCATTCACAATCTCAATCATGAATGAAAATTTGACATTTCTGAAATTCTTACCTTACTTCTAATTCTTGATTAAAAGGATCCGGTAACTTTGTCTTAGATCCTTTAAAAAAATCCTGGATTTAGCTCATGCTAAAGGAACCTTATGACTTTTACAAGCTGATCGCCTGTCTGATTTTCAAGATATTTATGATTGAAAATCGAAATCAAATTTTGCGTTTGCCAAACGGTTTTCATAACAGTACAGTTTATTAGGGAAAATGAGTATGGTAAAACCGGTCACTCAAAGGTTTATTACTTTTTTGAGGCACTTCTTGATCATTTTGAAACGCAATTTTTGTAGGGCTTCAACATAACAGCATATCACAGGCACTGATAACACGTAGGGTCGTGCATCTCAGATTTAACATTGTTAAACGATCCCTTAACTCATATCCTGCCATGAGACTGCTAGCGCGCTATTGTTATAGTGCTCTGTGCACGCGAGCGCGCTATCGATTGAATACCACGTTCATGCTAGCGAGCCACCGCTACTCTGCTTTGTGCATGCAAGGGCGCATATGTAATAACAGTCATTGTTCATGCCCATTGCACCGTTCTGAGTGCTTTTGCAGCGCTATTGAAAGTACCATCGCGTGCATCAGATTATCGGCTTTGGATTACTCGTCTTTGTATACAACAGTCAGATTGGATTTTCTCGAGTAATTTAGCGATTTGTTTTTTTGTAAAGATTTAATTAACATGCACTTGAACCAACCTTAAAATTAACTTGGCACACAGGAGATTTGTGGCTGGCACAATAGGGATTAGCACTGTGGCACTGGGTGCATTGTATGGGTGGCAGCTTAAGAGTTAATAATTTGTGAGCGTTATCATTCTTATTATGCAAGTGTAGAAGAACATCAGATAAGACATGTTCCCTGAAAAGCATGGCTCTTCAAATACCTTCATATTCTAAATATGTCATGTAACATCGTAAAAATCCAGGGTAGGATTTTTACGCCACATGTTCGTGTAGTCCCATATACATCTTTCTGTGTACAGTGTTTGTAACTTTACCAAGACTTGGCCAAATTTCTTATCATTTTGATGATTCCAGAACCTTGCAATACACACAAATTCTTATATGCTAGATGATCAACCTTTTCTGGTCGATTCCACACCGTTTCTTTCACAATGCAATCGCATGACCAGAACTCAACTTCATCTTTAAGCTTAGTTTAGTTTATGTAAGATTAGTGATGAGAATATATTAACCTGATTGTTGAATGTATTCTCTGTTAGGTCTTCAATCAAGAACTCTTCGGAGCTGTGTCGGAAGAGAAGGAAGTAGAAGGCATTGTGGGAAAACTGCTTGAAGCTCGGAGCATCAAGGCTTATGATTGTTATGAAGTGGTGTCAAAGTTCGTTGGTCAGGGGTCAATCACAAAGTTAATTACTCCGTTGAAAGAGGTGAGATAACATCCCATCTTCTCAGAACCATAAGGAAGATAACTCATGTTTGACGTCTTGTCCATGCATGTCGTTACTTAGGAGATATGGCAATGACATCTGTAGCAAAAACACATGGTAATAACTTACAAGTAGCAATGGAATTTATTTCAGAACTTTCAGATGGTTTGTCAAATCTGTTTTGAAAATGGGTTGAAAAAGACCCTGTTAGCCATCTACTTTTGAAAGATCAATCTAGGGTGATATCGGTTGGCTTGTGCCAATGCATCATTATCAAAGAATTGTAGAAAATATAATCATTTTTTTGCAAACATGATATCTATTGGACATACGATAAGGTATTGAAATTGCCCTTAAAAATTTACGATCATGTTATGATAAAGATTACACTTTGTACAGGTATGCAGGTTGAATAAAACAAACAACAACATCGAATTGCACTAATTACATGTGTGTGTAAAATTGATTTGTTTTACAGTATTTTGAAATTGTATTAATCATGCTTTTCGTAGATCCTTGATACTTCTAACAGCCATCGAGCTGTAAACCGAGTCCGAGAGACGTTGCGTAGATGTACGATTGGTCTCCAAGAGAATGCTGGGATATCCCAGGAGACTCTGCTGATCTTCATTCATGGACTAACGTCAGAGACGCTTCCCCTGCTCAAACCACCTACAAAGTATGTGAACATTTGATTTGTGTCAATTTGTGTTTCTTGAGAATTTTACTTATTTAAGTGTTGAAAGATTTAAAAAAAAGACTGTCTTATGTCTTATTTTAATGGTTGGGAGAATTTACTGGTAGAGGTTGTCGCACAGTGACGCCTTCAAAGGAAACCATAAATATCTTTGTGGTTTGATGATTTTTTGTCAGGATTTTTTGCATGTAAGGGAGTTAGTACAGTAGAAGGGATATAAGAAGTAACATTTCATACCTAGTCACATTAATAAGACTATACTACTAAAAACTATGACATATGTATGTTTACCTCTACTGTTTAGGAATGAGAAGAAAGACAGCTCTAAGGTCGGTCACAGACCTCCAAGCACATACTTATTACCTGCTACACCCAAGCGATCGGGTCTGGTTCCTGAGACTGGCACCAGGACACACATACATCTACTCATCGAGTTTGGTTTACAGGTAAATACCTTCTCTGATTAATGTCTTCATACCAACACTAATCTAAAAAGTTTGCTTTTCAATTCATCTGTTTTATGAATGCTCTTTATGCCATTGAATTTTAATGTTATTTTGAAAACAAGAAGCAGTATACATTAGAAATGAACTTCCAAGAGTAAACATTTAGCTCTGATGATTTTTAATTTATTTCAGCACTGGAATATAACATGAAAATTAAGTTGCAATATGTGTATTTGAATTGATGTTTTTGTTTAAACAGCTTTTAAACCTATACTTTTGTTTCAAGTAGCATATAAGTCAGTGAATAACTGTAAAATATTGTTTGTTTCCCAATTAACCAATTTTACAGTCCTCACCTTGCGATTTTAACTTGATTTAGATAATGATAATAAAAGTTACATTTATATCCTTTGTTAAGACATTAATCCACATCTGCCACTCTCCACTGAGATGTTAAATATGTACCGGTAGGAATGAATTCCTTGAGTGCTTTGAGCACGGGTACAGTAGCCTAGCAGAGCCAGGGTAGTATTTGAGTCTCTGAGCAACTTACGTGATGGATATGTGTGCTATAAAAGAATCCAATATTATCATTATTACTATTGTTAGATCACAACTCCTCTACTCTGTTTACTATTATCACTGTGTTCACTGTTTCAAATAGAAGGTATACATACTGTGAGATGTTTTCTGTGATCTAATTGATAGAGCAATGGTCTCGTAATCCGGTAACCCGGGTTCGAAACCAAGTCGATGCGCTAGTGCCCCTTTGGTAAGGCATTAATCCTCATCATAGCTTTCTTAGCTGTCACGTAAAATAACCACCACTATCTATCTATTTATTCTTTAAATTCATTTCTGTAGCTGTTGAACATGAGTTTGAAGAGATCCAAGTTTGTATCGAGCAATGACAAGCACATGGCTATGTTGGATCCATTCACCAGTGTCTTATACAGGTCTATGGAGTCGCAACATACAAGGGTAAGCTTCCAGAAAAAAGAAAAACTCATTGTAAGTGTACAGTTGCATAATTACAAATTCCATTTTCTTAAATGATTTTGCTTTTGATATGTATTACACTTGTGTATATATTTTGATTTTGTTAGATTGAGATGCTAGTCATACATTGTACATGTAGCATTAATTTTAATTTGCGACGATATTGATTTAAGCAGCCAATGAAATGTTTCACCCATTGTTTGGAAGCAGGGAAAAGATGGGTATAATTTGTGCAAAGATTGATTTTATTGTATTCTCATTTTGAACAAACATCTGCAGACTGCATTCATTTTTTGTTTGTGTTGTGTTCCTCATCAGTTAAAATCAATATTTTAGTAAATATATGATTTGTATGTTGTATAATTATGTACCTTGCAGACTTACTAAATAAATATCACATCATATGACTTTATATACATATATGTAAATGTATGAATCTTTAAATGAATGAATGCCTTTTTATATAATTGTATGTTTAATGTAAACTTGCATTTTTAGTCTTTGGACTTTTTGAAGAGATTGAATAAAACCTAATTTGAATGAATTCAATTGAAAAACCTCTAAATATTTATTTGAAAAATTTCTGAATATTCATTTGAAAAACCTCTGAATATTCATTTTTTAGGTGATCACCTGTGCTTTGCGATGTATGTGCTGGTTGCTACGTTACCCTCTGCCCTCGTTGTCCAACGTGATGAAGCAGGTGACCCAATCACTATTCAGGTTACTGAGGAAACATGCCAGGGTGGGAGCTGCGAAGGGGATAACTTTGAGCTCATGGTCGTCACTTTCAAGGTACTCTCAAACCGTCCCTTTCATTATCATTTGAAATCATGCAGGCTTGTATCCAAGTAATCTATGACAGCTAGACTATGGACTGTGAGCAAAGCTTGTGGTTATACCACTTATCCTGTCAAGAGTGATCGGGTGGCTGTGACAAGGGCCCACCCATGTTTGACGTTTTGTAGGTTGTGTGAATCCTCTTTAGGATGAGACAACCTATCAAAACAAACGTTAAGCATGGGTGGGCCCTTTGTCTGGGCCATCTAATTACATGATATAACTACAAGCTTCGCTATCTTCACCATGGAAGCCTTCAAAATTTCCATAGACTATGGACTATCACCTCAGGACCACACCCCTCCTAGAAAAACAATCCCCTGGACATTTCGTATGACACCCCAAAAAAGTACAATGTACATCTACAGTTCCGCCTGCGATCAACGTCACAGTGGATCGCGCGCATACGCGTGCACTTGCGCGCGAACGCGATTGATCGCGATCAGCTTAGTGGGTGGAAAACATAGCTAAAATGTAACGCAGTCCTTCCGTATGAAATGTCGCCCTCTGTTGGCGATAGTTTGCTTTTTTATTTTTGTCAGTTATTGTTGCTACTTACGCATAATGTTGCGGCGGGAATCTCAAAGTGAAATCTAATCGGCGGGGAAAAAATATATTAGACGTTCATTTTTTGACTAAATTGAAGGCGGATGACTTTTGAATTCGCTAAACCAAAATTAAATCGGTAGACTTGGTATCTAATGAGACGCAATATTTATCTATTTTTTCAAAAGACGATTTAAGTTGCGGCGGGAACCTCAAAGTGATAACTAATCGGCGGTGAAAAATATATAAGACGTTATCTTTCAATTTCGATTGAATTTAAGGCGGTTCCTTTTTTAATTCGCTAAACCAAAATTAAATAGGTGGACTTGTTATCTTATCAGACGCAATACTATTTTTCAAAAGACGATTTAAGTTTCGGCGGGAAACTAATCGGCGGACAAAAATGTATTAGACGTTATCTTTCTATTTTTATTAAATTGAAGGCGGATCCTTTTCAAAATATCTAAACCAAAATGAAATCGGCGAACTTATTTTCTTTTATGACGCAATATTTGTCTCTTTTTCCAAAAAACGATTTAAGTTGCGGCGGGTCTTTTGGGGGAATTTTAAAGTGAAAACTATTCACGTGACAGTTGATCGCGCGCATATGCGTGCACTTGCGATAGCAATCACTTTAATGCATGGAATTGCTAAATTGAATGCGGCACTTAAATGAATACTAGGTTATCTTTCTTTAGGCTAGTTGATTAAATTGAAGGTGGATCCTTTACGAACTCTCTAAATCACAATTATATTGGTGGACTTGTTATCTTATCAGACGCAATACCTTTCTATTTATGATTTAAGTTGCGGCGGGAATATGAAAGTGAAAACTAGTCGGTTACGAAAAAATATGTTAGACAATATCACTCTATTTTTTATTAAATTGAAGGCGGAACCTTTTCGAACTCTCTAAACCAAAATCGAATCGGCTGACTTGTTATCTTTTATGACGCAATATTTTGTCTCTTTTTTTTTTGGAAAAAAGATTCAAGTTGCGGTGGGTCTTTTGGGGAATTTTAAAGTGAAAACTATTCACGTGGCAGTTGATCGCGCGCATATGCGTGCACTTGCGATCGCAATCGATCGCAATCACTAACTTAAATGCATGGAAAACATTGCTATAATTGAATGCGACAGTTTAGTGAAATCTATGTTATCTTTCTTTAGGCATATTGATTAAATTGTAAGTGGATCCTTTTTGAATTCGCTAAACCAAATTAAATCGGTAGACTTGCTATCTTATAAAACGCAATATTTATCTATTTTTCAAAAGACGATTTAAGTTGCGGGGGAACCTCAAAGTGATAACTAATCGGCGGAGAAAAAATATATTAGACGCTATCTCTTTTTCAAAAAATGATTTAAGTTGCGGCATGTCTTTTGGGAAACTTTTAAAGTGAAATCTATTCACCTCACAGTTGACTGCGCACACTTCCGAACACAATCGATCGCAATCACTTTAATGCATGAAAACATTGCTAAAATTGAATGCGACAGTTTAGTGAAAACTATGTTATCTTTCTTTAGGCATGTTGATTAAATTGAAGGTGGATCCTTTTCAAACTCTCTAAACCAAAATCAAATTGGCGGACTTATTATCTTATATGACGCAATATTTTCTCTTTTTCAAAAAATGATTTAAGTTGCGGCGGGTCTTTTGGGGGGACTTTTAAAGTGAAATATATTCACATCACAGTTGATCGCGCGCATATGCGTGCACTTGCGAACGCAATTGATCGTAATCACTTTAATGCATGAAAACATTGCTAAAATTGAATGCGACAGTTTAGTAAAAACTATGTTATCCTACTTTTTGCCTATTGATTGAATTGAAGGTGGGTCAAAAAATTGTATTTCTATACCCCCCATTCACATGAAATACTAGTAGCGGATCTGTATCTTACCGCGTAGCGCGGAAGCTCGGACGTTAATAGTTAAAGTAAGAGGACGATTCGTTGTACCATTCTCGACTCTTAATCCTTGTCTAGATTCAGTTTCTTTTGACGTTTCATTAAATTATTAAAGAAAGAAGACGATTCGTTGTACCATTCTCGACTCTTAATCCTTGTCTGAATTCAGTTCCCCCCCCCCCCCCCCCCCCCCCCCCCCGTTCCCGCGCGAAGCGCGGAAGCTTTGATATTTCATTAAATTATAAGAGAAAGAAGGCGATTCGTTGTACCGTTTTCGACTCTTAATCCTTGTTTGAATCAAGTTCCAATTCCTCCGCGCATATAGCGCGGAAACTCTGAAGTTTCATTAAATTATTAAAGAAAGAAGACGTTTAGTTGTACCATTCTCGACTCTTACTCAATGTATGAATTCAGTTCCTCCCCCCATCACCCCTTCCCGCGCGAAACGCGAAAGCTTTGACGTTTCACTAATAGAGAAAGAAGGCGATTCGTTGTACCGTTCCCGACTCTTAATCCTTGTCTAATTTCAGTTTCCTTTGGCGTTTCATTAAATTATTAAAGAGAGAAGACGTTTCGTTGTACCATTCTCGACTCTTTATCCTTGACTGAATTCAGTTTCTCCCCCCCCCCCCCCCCTTCCTGTGCAAAGCGCGGAAGCTTTGGCGTTTCGTTAAATTATTAGAGAAAGAAGATGGTTCGTTGTACCATTCTCGACTCTTAATCCTTGTCTGAATTCAGTTCCCCCACCCCCCCCCCCCCCCCTTCCCGCGCGAAGCGCGGAAGCTTTGATATTTCATTAAATTATAAGAGAAAGAAGGCGATTCGTTGTACCGTTTTCGACTCTTAATCCTTGTTTGAATCAAGTTCCAATTCCTCCGCGCATATAGCGCGGAAACTCTGAAGTTTCATTAAATTATTAAAGAAAGAAGACGTTTAGTTGTACCATTCTCGACTCTTACTCAATGTATGAATTCAGTTCCTCCCCCCACCCCTTCCCGCGCGAAACGCGAAAGCTTTGACGTTTCACTAATAGAGAAAGAAGGCGATTCGTTGTACCGTTCCCGACTCTTAATCCTTGTCTAAATTCAGTTTCCTTTGGCGTTTCATTAAATTATTAAAGAGAGAAGACGTTTCGTTGTACCATTCTCGACTCTTTATCCTTGACTGAATTCAGTTTCTCCCCCCCCCCCCTTCCTGTGCAAAGCGCGGAAGCTTTGACGTTTCGTTAAATTATTAGAGAAAGAAGATGTTTCGTTGTACCGTTTTTTAATCTTAATCCTTGTCTGAATTCAGCCCCCCCCCCTTCCCGCGCGAAGCGCGGAAGCTTTGATATTTCATTAAATTATAAGAGAAAGAAGGCGATTCGTTGTACCGTTTTCGACTCTTAATCCTTGTTTGAATCAAGTTCCAATTCCTCCGCGCATATAGCGCGGAAACTCTGAAGTTTCATTAAATTATTAAAGAAAGAAGACGTTTAGTTGTACCATTCTCGACTCTTACTCAATGTATGAATTCAGTTCCTCCCCCCACCCCTTCCCGCGCGAAACGCGAAAGCTTTGACGTTTCACTAATAGAGAAAGAAGGCGATTCGTTGTACCGTTCCCGACTCTTAATCCTTGTCTAAATTCAGTTTCCTTTGGCGTTTCATTAAATTATTAAAGAGAGAAGACGTTTCGTTGTACCATTCTCGACTCTTTATCCTTGACTGAATTCAGTTTCTCCCCCCCCCCCCTTCCTGTGCAAAGCGCGGAAGCTTTGACGTTTCGTTAAATTATTAGAGAAAGAAGATGTTTCGTTGTACCGTTTTTTAATCTTAATCCTTGTCTGAATTCAGCCCCCCCCCCCCTTCCCGCGCGAAGCGCGGGAGCTTTGACGTTTCATTCAATTATCAAAGAAAGAGGGTGATTCGTTGTACCGTTCTCGACTCTTAATCCTTGTTTGAATCAAGTTCCAATTCCTCCGCGCATAGCGCGGAAACTCCGACGTTTCATTAATTTATGAAAGAAAGAAGACGTTTCGTTGTACCATTCTGGATTCTTTATCCTTGACTGAATTCAGTTTCCTCCTCTCCCCCCCCCCCCTTCCTGCGCGAAGCGCGGAAGCTTTGACGTTTCATTAAATTATAAGAGAAAGAAGGCGATTCGTTGTACAGTTTTCGACTCTTAATCCTTGTCTAAATTCAGTTTACTTTGGCGTTTCATTAAATTATTAAAGAAAGAAGACGTTTCGTTGTATCATTCTGGATTCTTTATCCTTGACTGAATTCAGTCCCCCCCCCCCCCCTTCCCGCGCGAAGCGTGGAAGCTTCTGCGTTTCATTAAATTATTAGAGAAAGAAGACGATTCGTTGTACCGTTCTCGAATCTTTATCCTTGTCTAAATTCAGTTTCTGTTGACGTTTCATTAAATTATTAAAGAAAGAAGACGATTCGTTGTACCATTCTCGACTCTTAATCCTTGACTGAATTTAGCCCCCCCCCCCCTTCCCGCACAAAGCGCGGAAGCTTTGATGTTTCATTCAATTATTAAAGAAAGAAGACGTTTCGTTGTACCATTCTCGACCCTTACTCC